TTGTGATGTGCTCTGTTGGCCATCACCCATTGGCCCCTCAACAGTGGGCCCACTTACAGGCATTTATCTCATTGGATTAAATAGGATTACCTCGGCGTATCCACGGCCATTGTAGATAGTTGCTATGACGAAGTCCAGAACCATTACTGGTTCTGGCAATATGTTCACATGTAGGTATCTGAGGTCTCACAGTAGCACAGTGCCAGGGGCCCTGCCCTACATGTATATAAGCCCATGAGGATCTAAGGGAGAACCTTAGATTCATTATACTATTGTATGCGGCCTAACAAGCCAATTCACCCCTTTGTTGTGAGCATAAGGCTAAGGGCCCTTTGAGCCCCATTTCCAGACTGCATATCACTGCGTGCATCCTCAGCCTAGCCCTTGTGGCAGGCTTTTTATGTGGGATCATTTGTGCAGGTCACAAAAGCAGACTTGCCCTTAATTGGGTTAAGTGCTTTGGTGCTTTGTGACAACGTCCAAGGCTGCGTAACTTGTCAGAGAAACAAGACAAGCAAGCAAAAGCCTTACAGACTGTTACAACCTAACTCAGTACCAGAAGGGCCTTGGGAAATGGTTACATGTGACCTGATTACACAGTTACTGCCAAGCCCAGATCATAGGGGAGAAAAGAAGACTGCCATCCTGGTAGTTGTCGATAGATTCACCAAACATGCTCACTTCTACCTAGTAGATGACACAGTGACAGCATCTCGAGTAGCGTCAATCTTCTATAATGAAGTATTCAAACTCCACGGAATTTTCCGGCAGATCATATCTGATCGAGGCACACAATTCTCAGCCAAACTATTCCAGAAGTTCTGCCAGAAACTTCACATCAAGTCCACGATGTCTACAGCTTATTACCCTGAAACGGATGGACAGACTGAACGAGTTAATCAGATTCTGGAACAATATCTGCGCATGTATTGTAATTACTGACAAACTGATTGAGCCACACTATTGCCCACAGCGGAATTGACATACAACAACCAAGCTTCAGAATCGACAGGTCTGTACCCATTTTTTATTGAGCATGGTCGACACTCCCGAATGGCACCAGACGTACTGGAAGGAATACAACATCCATCCCTGGAACATTTATTCCATAACCGCGATCAAGCACAGGAACAAGCCCGTGCCGCTCTGTCATTAGCAGCAGAAAGAATGAAATGGTATTTCGATCTCAAAAAGCAGAACATCCCTTTCAAAGTAGGAGATGAAGTGCTTATTCAAGGAAAAGATCTCCATGTAAAAGTCAAAAGTTAGAAACTTGCGACTCAGAACTATGGACCATTCAAGATCCTCGAAAAGATCAGAACCGTATCATTCAAACTGCAATTACCAGCGGACATGAAGCTGCATCTGGTGTTTCATGCTTCCAAGCTTATAATGTTCCATCAAGACTCTATCCCTGGATGCGTACCTCCCCCTAATCCTCCAATCATCATAGACGGAGAAGAAGAATGGGACGTGGAGGACGTCCTGGATTCAAGAGTCAGGTACAACAAGACCCAGTATCTCATTAAATGGTTAGACTACGACCACAGCGATAATACTTGAGAACCACTGGAAAACCTCACGAATGTCAAAGACAAAGTAGAGGAATTTCACAAGACACACCCAGATGCTCCAAGAGCCAAGCCGCGAACACGCAAAGCACACAAAATTGCCCTGTCTGACCACCCTGATGAATTTATGGTCTTTTTCTGCCTGCATTCCAATGCCCGAGCACCCTACAAGGGATCTTCAGAAGCTGTTGGGTGGGACGTCAAGTCCATACAAGACATAGACATTCCCCCACACTCCAGAATGCTCATTGGCACTGGGCTTGCGGTTAACCCTCCAAAGTGGACATACATTCGAGTGGCCCCCCGAAGTGGGCTAGCTCTCAAAGGAATTGATGTCGCAGCAGGGGTAATTGACCCAGACTACACAGGGGAAATCAAGGTGCTCCTTGTTAACACAACCAGCGAACCATTCGAGGTCAGGACAGGCGATTGTGTCACACAACTCATATGTGAATACTACGCCCCAGGAGTTATTACGGAGACAGATCGTTCACTTGCAAAGCGAACCATATGAGGTGCCAATGGCTTTGGCTCATCGGGATGATGAACCTTGAGAAGGGGATGATGTCACAGTTTTTATTTAACAAGTAATTATAGGAACAAATGCTATTAGAAGCATATCATTTTTCATCATTTCATGTCGAACAAGAGTCACATGACCTAATGAGAGATAAGATAACAAGGCATCTAGTCACATGACCTCGGACCCCTCTCGGCATTGTCACGTGACACTGAGCCCCTCAGCATTGCATCATATGACGTCATAGCCATAATGCAATATTGCATGCTCAAAGGGAGCTCCATCTCCGTGGGTTATTATTAGGCAGTCAATCAGGATAATTGGGACATGTTATACGATTGTAGCACTGACCAGTAGAATAGCATGTGACTCGCTTAGGTAGTACTGTACAGTAGCACAACGAACATGTATATAAGGACCAGGTCTGACGAGGAGAGACTCCAGTCTTATTCTCCTTCGTCCACCACTACCATCACAGAGGGGTCTTACCAGACACTCTCAGTGTGTTATACATCTGTTTTCATCCTCACTGTTGTGATAGCGCCTCTCACCTCACCAGTAAGTCTTACTCTGCGACTAGCGACTAGGTCTCGTCAGTGGGCACGTTGAACCACCACAGCTCATCACTGTAGGTTTTACCCAGGAGACCCTCAAGGGGACTCTTTATTTTGGTGGTCTATCTTTGTCATCAGCGTGCCATGACAGAGCCATATGGAAACTGGGGATCCCTCCATCATTCATGCACACTGTCACCATTCGCTTGTTCACACTCATCTATGGCATCATCTGATTCATCGGACACGTCTGTACCATTCAGCTTGACACGTCAATGTCTATTCACAAGGATTGTTTTGACTCACCATACATCTGCAGACCTTCAGCAACATTGGTCAAAGTCACGTCATCGAGATTGTCTCCAAGTGATTCGTCAAACAGCTCTTGAAAGCCGTGTTGTCGAGGTCATGGAGCAACCGAGTGCATTCAGCCTCCACGGCAGTGCTCCCTGCTGACAACTGGATTTCATTGCTGTGTTCATCGAACATGCAATCGTTGACCTCATGAACATTAGCAAAGGGATCATAGTTGAGTGGTTGCATGTCCGAGTCATGTCGTATTGTTAAATGATCTTGAGGGCCTGCATTCAGCAGGGCTGCTGGCCCCATGTCTCCAGCGATTTCTGATGCCTCACATGCATTCTTTATTTTCTGCTGCTCATTGTTCTCAAGTGCAATTGCAGTGGTATGCTGCTGGGAGATGAGGTGGCATGTCAGGGCTTTCAACTGGAAAGTCTTGTCATGACCAATGGTACTGTGATGCTTCATCAAAGTGAGACATCGAAGAGTTTTGGTGAGTTCATCTGCAACTTCTAAGCCTTTGGTGCATCAGTTAATACTTGCAGGGAGATCTGCATGAATTAAGGATGTATTTGTACCTTCTGGGAGACTCCACGAGTGGGTGCCATTGGTGAAGATCGGTGATGGCTGGCAATTTCTGCCTATAATCGAGATATGGCTGATGGTGCAAGTCAAAGTTTTCTGCATCTTTCGGCTGTCAACCTGCATCCCGATCACACAGAATGGCTTTGCAGGCTCTCCTTGATGAGGATATTTTCAGCTCTCCGATACTTGGTCTGACTCTTAATAACTCCTCTGTCAGAGAGTCCCCTCTGAGTCCCAAGTCTGACTTGTGTGCATTTCAATCATCCTCTGATCTCAGTGCTGAGTCTTCTCTGCCATTGGATGTAATCTCAACAGGAATGATGCCACTTGCAGCATTGTCGATGGACTCTCGCAAACGTAAGCACCAGATGCAGTACTTCAGTGCCCAAGTCGCAGTGAAGTGACTGAAGACCGATGGTCAAAATGAGCTCAGAAAATACATCAATGTATGTACATCTTGGATTACCGTGCTCATCATCAATCATCACATTTTATTTAGGCGAACGAGGATGAACACGAAATTATGTGCATCGCAACCATGATCAAGATTGCGGGACGTATGGATGATTTATTCACTGCAGGCGCAGAGGTGTGGGACATTCTGAGTCACGTTCTGGTGAGTGATCATACATTAAACCACCAGAATAATCTCTGATGTAATGCCTGTATGCAATAGATGAACATTGACAAATATATCATTCGTCTGCTTCTCTCATCCAGGGTTTCTGCTTATAATGGCACCCCAATCTTGAAACTGCTACTCAAAATAATAGAACGCAAGCGCTGGGGCCTCAAACCTTCATGCATTCATGACGAAAATGGAAAGTGGAACAAGATCATCACATATGCACCTGATTGTCTCACGCAGCGCAAGGCAGAGGTCAAGAAGTTGGTATGTTATTTGCGCAACAGCCACTGTCACACACGATTTGTGAATAACTTGTGACCACAGTTGGACGTTTCTATTGAGGATGACACCTCTGTCAATGCCGACAGTGAAAAGACTTATAAAGGCAAGAACATCATTGAATTATGCAACGCGTTGCATCAGATAGGAAAGAAATTGATTTCTACTGGCACAGATGTTGTTGTAACACCTGAGATGTGTGCTCGCATAGCATTGTTGGTGAGTGATTTGACTTTACCTGAGCAGATCATAGATCCGAAGCTGATTCATGCAGTAGCGGCTAGTATTCTTAGAAAACCCAACAGGAAAATACTGGTCTGCTGTCGACCAGACTCTTGCAAATATTCGCAAAAAGGCAGGAGGAAAACTGAATAAAGTATCTGGATGAGTCATACGCATTGGATGTATCTCATAATGGGCTGACACAATTACAAAGATACCTCAAACACATCCTTGACACTGACTGCGAGTGGTTCAGCGGTGCAGATCTCACTGCACTCGGAAAGGCCACGCCATCAGCGTATCAGGCGAAACTGGATGCGGCACTTGAAAGTGGGCGAGTGAAAGAGATTACGGAGGAATTGTATGACATTGACGAGGCACAGTAAATAGTGCGGTAGTTAATAGACCAAATGCCCTTTCAAACGCTCCCTTTACCAGGTCCTGCACCGCTTATCAATGCTTGAATCTGCCAACACATGAGCTCCACCATTTTGCATCTCCCAGTACAGTTTAATGTCAGCAAGAAGCTGCTTGATGGCATGGAACGACCACAGGTTGATGCCAGCATATTGCATCACAATTCGAGATTCTTTGATGTGCAATTCAATGATGGCCTCTTTGACTTGGCCAGGCATACGAGAGTCAAAGCCGGCACCATGCAGAGCCACTTTGAGTTCACACAGCTCAATCGCCATGTTTTGGATGTCTTCTGGAGCAGTTGAATTAAGTCCAGCAGACCGCAAGCAAGCCTTGAGTGATTTGAGCTCATCGAATGCCTTCTGCAACTTCTGCTCGCTCTGTATGCCTGCGCGTAGGGCTCGCTGCAACATGCCTTGAATTCTGTCGAGGTGAGAATGACATGTCTGGCTGATGCATTCTAAAGTCAAGGTACATTTTAGGCATTGGCTATGGACACCTTAACATGCAGGACTTACCAGACAGTGCATCTGTCTGTATGCCTTGCAAAACAGAAACACGAGCAGCAAGCTTTGTATTGTCGTTCATCGTTTCACTCATCTGGACAGCTTGCATCGCAAAGGCTCGAGGGTCCTCAGCTGAGCATTTGTTTGTATATCAGAAGCCTGCTATCATAAGGATGAAGACTTACCGGCTGATTCCTGTGAGTCAGCCTGCAGGTATGGTGAAGCCTCAACATCCGAGTCTATCAGGGTCGAACCACTGAGATTCTGTCACTTGTGCTTTGATCACACCTCCTGTGTCATAGTAGCTGTTGGATGTGAACATTAGACAACCGATAACATGTTCAGATACCTCACCTTGCAATCGCATGGCCAGCTTTTGCAGCAGCACTGCATCGAGAAGACATCCTGGTAGAATCCAAAGAGTCGGTCGAAATAGAGACCAGGTTGTGCAACTCATAGGATGGAGAACATTCGAACTGAGATTGGGCATGTAGGGATATGTTAGAATCATACATTGTGATGACAGGGCAGCGAGCACGTGCGACGTGAGGTGGAAGGTACTGAAATGCAAGTCATGTGAGATGCGTTTGCGAACGCAAAGTTTCTCATTTTCATTTCTTCCTTGCCCTTTCTTCCTCTCATTCAGTGATGTGCTGCCACGATCCCGAGTTGTCTTACTCCACATCTGATGTGTCATTGTTATGGGGGATCCGGGCATGAAAGAACACTCACCATATTTCTTATATTGTCCTTGAGCTGTGTTGCTCCGTGGCCTGAACCCATGTTGTTGTTGCGAAGGACTCTTCTATTCGGTGCCTAACATCATACTAATTCATTGGCAGACACAGGACACCAGGGGGAGGGGGGGAATACATGGCAGCCTTGATAAGTGCTGACTTGACTTACTGCGAACTCGTTAACCATGCCAAATTTTGATCTTTGCTGGTCAGATGACAATATTCTGGAGGGAAGGGTCCACTCCATATGTCTTTGATGTTCCGTGCCCACGATCCTTCATTTGACTGATAACATTTACATGCAGGAAGTGTTATATTGCAGGATGTTGCTCAAAGCACACGGAGTGGAATTGGGAAGTTTGTACTGTATGAAATGCATCGTAGCATACATGGCAATGCATATATTTATCTACTGTGACATACCTGAGAGCAATAGAGTGCCAGAGAAATCAGTGAAGTGAGAGGCTGAGAAGAGGGGGCTGCATGCTGTCAAGGGGAACTGCTATTGATGGGATATGGCTGGTCAGCCACCCGTTGCCAGGTGTACACCAGGCTTCATCCATATGGTGATGGACTCAGGTGGTACTGATAGGCATCCGGGTATGGGGACACATTGTTGCCCGGCCGTCGCCACATGGGACGTGGGGATGGAACATGTGGGCCAGCCAGGTGGCTCCCACCTGGATCTGGATTGGCAGTGTAGTCAATCCCCTCGACCTGCGAGCAGCCTTGGGTGCATAGATGTGCGTGGTAACTGGTTACATGGCCTCGCGCATCTTTCTTAGTGCAAAAAGCCCAAGTCGACCCTACGATGTTCTTTTCTGATGAATGTGGTGGCGGGTTCACATAAACCCAGCTCTGTCTCGATTCTAGGTGACGAATCTCTTCTTGCATGGCCTCTAGCTATGACAGCCAGTCTGGGTGACGCTTCACCTCGGTGACATTTCGTGGATCGAAGCCCATTGCCTCGGAGGTTACTACTCCTACAGCGTACGCGACGGTCTCGCTGAATGCATGATTGATAGCGACTTCAGTCAAGGCACCCTCAGCTCATCCCGACATGATGTCACACATCTTTGCACTCAGCAAGCAGATTCTCTTGCCCATCACAACATTAGGGTCTTCTGGTTCATGAATTTCCTCAGGTAGCTCGCGGTCTGCAAGAGGAGCAGGAATGATAGGTGATGAGGGAGGTGGAGCAGCATCAGTATGAGTTGGATCCGATTCTAAGGTAGGTCCTATATCCACATCATTATGCTCCCCCTTGACATGCGGAGCCTTTTTACTGAAGATGACATCATGCTCGACCATGATCGTCCTTCACGTTGGCCAATAGATACGATGTTCATTCGACGAGTCATCGAATCTGAGCCAGTGACATCAGGAAAACTCAAATCTGGCTTTTATCTGCTGGCCATCACCAAAAAAGACAGTAAGCTCGAGAAAGTCTCAGGACCTTCTTGCTTTGAACTTTTTCCTGGGTTGGAAGCTTCTTATTGTGCATTTATTCACTTGTACAAGCCAATACTAGCAAGAACAAGTCAAAAAGGAGGTTCTCGAGCCACAAGTTGATTTGAGTTTTCCTGATGAAGCCTCGACACCGCACGCATCCAGCTTTGATGCATTATCTACCTTCATGAATACAGTGTTCCCCCATGGGCACAACTTTGATACGTCCAGTGTGTGGCCCAATCGTACCTCATATGGAGTTTTGCCACCCAGGGCATGACGTGCAGTCCAGTTGTAGACATGCACTACATAAGCTAATGCCTCACCCCATAGCCATTTTGGCAGACTGGACCCAACAAGGGCCATGCAAATGCTGTTGAATATCGTTCCATGTGTCCGCTCTGTGATGTCGTTGTGCTCTGAAGTATCGTGGACAGTAAGTTTTCGAATGGCTCCCATGTGCTCGAGGTGCGCTGACATATCGTCAGACAGGAACTCGCCTTCGCGATCTGACTGCACTATCTTTATGTGAGTACCATGCTGTGTCTGCAAACGTGCATCGAAGCTGACAAATTTGCCAAAAGCCTCGGACTTCAATCGTAGTAACGGCATCTCGAGCCAACATGTAGCGTCATCGATGATTGTAAGCGCATAATGGCTATGGTTTACCATCATAACTGATGCAGGCCCCCATATGTCTAGATGGACATGCTCGCCATACATCTTGATGAGTGGAGACTGGTGAATAGTGGCAATAGGAGCATGGTGTGCCTTTGCGACTAGGCACGTTCAGCATTTGATCTCTTCGGTACGTTGAGGATCTAGCTTGACGCCAGTGATGCGATGCTCAGGAAGCATCGCCTTGAGGTACCTGTAGTTCACATGCCCTAGCCAGCAATGTATCTTGTGCAATGACAGCAAGACGGGAACTGCGAGCGATGCACTCGTGTGGAAGATCTGGTAGAGTCCGTCTGCGTGAGGAACAGATCCGACAAGTACATTTTTCGGATTGGTGATTTGTAGCTCCCCCTGATAACCTGTATAACTGTATTCGTCTTCTTCCAGTACCTCCAGCAACACAAGCATCACATGCATAGCCAGCGTGTGCAAGACATCGTGCAGATGCAAGTAGCGTGGCCCGTCCCGATGTGCGAAAGCGATATCGAGGTCACCCATACCATTTGCATAGAAGATCTCCGAATTTGCAGTGCAAATCCGATGCGGCACAATCATACGGTAGTTCATTAGGAAGTCCAAATGCAGCATCATATGCCGTGAAGCCCCTGAGTCAAAAATGTCAACTCTGTAACCCATTTCCGTCGCTGCAGCCATTGTCTCGTGAGTGTTCACTATGCGTATCTCGATCTGCTCTGCTAATTCAGAGCAATCGATGGTGGTTGCCTCAAGGCTAATCACAGGGCCTATCATGGAGGTGCTCCAGGCCTCCAAGATTTCCACGTCATGAACAGCTGGCCCTGTCATCGCAGAGGACGCGGTGCTATCTGTCGCACCATCCTTCAACTTCGTGGTGGCTGCCTTACTGTCGCTCGCACATGCGGTGGCTGCAGTCTTCGCCTTCAGGTGCTCCTGGTAAGTTTTGGTCAACAGACACTGCACCTTGCAGTGCCCCTTACCCCTGCATTGAAAGCAGACTATCTCATCATTCAACTTCTTGGGTGTGTCCCCTCGACTCGATCCTTGTCCACGACCATGCTGACTGCACTGCCCACACTGCCCATGGCCGCTCTTTCCTCCTCGAGATGTGCTAACCGCAGCTTCAGCGGTAGCAGTCCACTCGCCCGACTTCAGCACAGCACGTGAGTCAGCTTCAGCTCGCAGCGTGCATATGATCTCATCTGACGTGACCATTTTCTTGGATGCGCCTGTCGGCAGCGTCGAGTTATAGATCTCGGCAGCTGTCATAATCGCGGTGACACTCAGTGCAAATGAGCGGGGAATAGACGTCGTGATTGCATTGATGTAAGTACGATCTTTGATGGCGGTGTTTGACTCAGCTAACTTCTCCTTCAGCTCAGCCAGTTGGTCCAGGTGCTGACGCAGCTTGCGCTCATCAGTACACTTCAATGTAAATAACTTTGCCTCCGTTACGGCATCCATTGCAGCCATCAGTGTTCCGAACTCGGTCTTCAACCCCTCCATGATTTTGGATACCTCAGTGATGCTGAGGTACTTCTGAAAAAGTGAGTCGGTAAATTTTCTAGTGATCACGTTCAGCATTTGCTTGTTGAGTTTAACTTCTTCAGCCTTCGACGAGTCAGCGGCGTGTGTCAATAGGTCGTCGGCATCGCATGTGCCTGCAGCACGCTGAACACGACCTAGCCATATGTGATAATTCGATCCATCAGTGGCAAGCTTCAGGACCTCAGAGAATTCCTTCACAACGGATGGCATCATGATAGGGACTACAGGTTGTGGTGGTGCTGATGGTTGAGCTGGAGGAGCTGGTGGAGCCGGAGGTCTAGAAGAAAGTTCGGAAGCCAGGGTTGCTTCGACGAAGAAGAGTGAGGGATCGATGCGAGATAAATGAGTGAGGTGAGTTTCCGAATGATATGGATGAAGGTCATCTAGATCTGATACCTCGTGACCTAGCTGTCTAAGCAGTCGACGAGTTCTGGTGCGAAGGTGTGTGTTTTCAAGGGTGACAGTCTGTTGGTAGTTTAGGCAAAGCTTCACAAACTAACTTGAGTATTCATAGGTATTAAGCCTCGGGGCTCATAACCTAATGCACTACAGCACGAAGGTGCAACAGATGACCGCGAAGGATCAACGTGGCTGGTATGTCTGCGTCCACTCAACACGGAAAGACCGGAGGGCTAAAGTGACGCGTACTATCACATCAGTGGATTGCACCAGGGTAAAGCCTCTTATTCATACCTAAAGTGACGCGTACTATCATGTCACTGTGCTAAGCGTAAGTACATCTGTACAGTGCGGAACTATATATAAAACCACGTACGCCGATTGCACCAGGGTAAAGCCTCTGGGGCATCCGACGTACTCGCTGCGAATATATATGCTAACTGTCAAGTGTCTGAAGGGAAGTGAGCGTTGGGGAGCTCAAGATCGAGTGGGGTGAGTAAATACTAAACTAGGAAACAATATAACCTTATAGGTACCAAGGCGAGCCGCAGACCACAAATCGCGACAATCCTCATGTTCACGACCCAGCCCATTGTAATTGTATCCTGCCACAGGAATGAATCTTTTATTTACCACCTTGTCACCTTCTGTCGCAAGGTGTGCCGCCGGCGACAGCCGGCGCTTCTCGAGTCTCATAGCGAGATCCGTATTCCTGGATGGTCATTCAATGATTGATCATGTCGTAACCAATGTTTCGTATATAACGTTTATGCTAGCATTCAACCACGTGTCACCGTGAAGATCGTGTGCAAAGCGTCTATCCAGGTTGGCCAAGGCGGACATCACGGCGTGCGAATCGCGTGCACACTGCACACGCCACAAGCGCATCCGATCGCGTACTACTATGCATGAGACACTGCTCGCCATCGTCAAACTTCGAAGCCACCAGCGTTGTCCATAACTCAGAGTTTGAACGATCATTTTCTCAAATGGTAATAAGGATTCTGGTGGATGGTTACCATTGTGGGTTCAATTTCCTGATTACATGCAACATTGGCATTGAACTTAGCCCTCTCCCGTTGACCTCTTACAATCTCGGCTGTGCATGAATGAGGATGTGGACGCAGTCAGTCAGGAGAAAATTGTGGATCATTGCCTGATCATGATGGCCTCGTGGCCCTGTGGCATTGGAAGATGTCCGAAGGAGGTATACAGCGCATCATTTTCGCCTCTCCGCTTGCATCGATAGCATCATGTGCGGCCTGATCCCTGATCATCGACAATCAACTTCTTTCTGGTGAGCCATCGGGCGTAATATCATTGGAATTCTGCCACCGTTCTCTCGACATGATACCTGAGGAACCTGAGAAGGAAGGTCGTCCTGCTGTTGTACAATCCGGCATGTATGCAGCGGAAATGCTATCCAGGCGCTATGCGAAGCGCGCAATAAATATTGTCATTGCTGGCAAGTACCTTTTCTCCATTGTTGCATGAGCTATGATATACGAAGGCTGACTCTGACGCTTCAGACCAATTAGCATGGGTGTGGTGGTATGATCAACAAGGTACAATCCAGTCGAGCGGTGTCGATTTCATCAAGGATCTTCCCTATTTCCTTGTTCTCATTGCCACATTCCGTCATATGGGTCTGCGTGAATACGGTGTTGACGCCACACTGAGAAGAGATGGACATCAAGATTATTTGAAGAGGGCTACGAGGGAGTATCTGAGGAAGGACATAACAGTTCACGAGATCCACCGTCGTCGCAAACCCCACGGCTTCGACGTCGTATGCGGAGATCGCGAAGATCAGATGAAGGTGAAGACAGCAGCCATTACACGTCTTGACAAAATCATTAAATCGCGATATTCCCTTTCCGGTCGGGAAACAAAAGAACTTTGAGGCCACGGGGAAGAAGGCAACCCAAGCAGATGCAGTCATGACGATATACTGGCCGGAGGTCGCTCTCGCGAGCGAGGCCGCTGATTTGGAGCGGGCAGTAGAACTGGGCCGGGGAGACCCGCTCATAGAGGGACATCTGCCCACAGTACTTGCCTCGTACGACTTGAATTACTCGACCGGAACGATTGGCGAGGACATTCAGAACGAAGGGCGAGTTGATGGGGATTATGCTATCGGTGACTCACGTTGCATGCGCCTACTACTGATGCGGAAACTGTTACCCATCGACGGATTGCACGCTGAAGAGTTTCTACGTGTATGGGTGGAGTGTTATCGATGTGAGTATCATGCTACTTCAATGATTTGTCGTCTAATTCGCTCTCGAGTAGGCCATTTCGCACTTTGGATGAAGGGCTTTGAGCACACGGATATCAGTATTGACCACCTGCTCTATGACCCCATCACTCGAAAAGGTGTCCTGAATGTTTTCGATTTGGCTAGGATCCGCTTGGACGATAACAATCAGGCGACAGGGCAGGAACGGACTGGCACCATCCCCTTCATGGCAATGGATCTCCTCTCAAGAGAGTATTTCCGCGGAGAGATCGTGCGCCTGTACCGCCATGATTTCGAGTCATTCCTTTGGATCCTGGCCTATAGGCTGCTGCGTGGAGCCAGTGGCCAGAATACAGACGTGGGAAAATGGAACACTGGGAATTACATAGATTGTCGTTTCGCCAAGAGCGACTTCCTCACGACACAAATGGAAACACGGCAAGTCTTGGATGATGATAATGCACGGGTTTGGAAAAGCGTCGGGGTTGGATTGTTTAGATGGTTCGATGAAAAACTTCACGTCATGGGGCGCTTGCGTGGTTTGAAGGATCAGGAACCAGAAGAGCTGTCATGGAGTGACCTCGAAGAGATAAATCGATGGGACGATCCGTCCAACCAGTCGTCCACGCAGGTTCTCAAAGACGCTGAGGGTGTCATTGCGACGCGCTTGGCTAAGGCGGGTTCCTCCATTCCCTTCAAGTTCCAACCGCTTTCTGACGAAGAGCTCCAACGGCATCTCCCTTCTCCATCAACTCCCATTCATCCGTAGTCTGCCAACGGACGAAGAAACACGTGGAGAACGTTCGCTGTGTTCCCCACAGACACAGATGATATTAAGTGAGCTGTGCGAAACTTTGCATGGAAAGAAGGAAACATTGACAGACGATAAACCCTCTCAGATGGCAGGCCAGGGATGCTGCATGCTGAGACGCACCCGTGCTTCGCCCGCTGTAACGTCCACGTCGAGCGGGCATAGACATCGTCGCCTTAATCACCCACGCTTACGAACCGATAGTGGGTAGCGGACGACCTCGGCATGATGTCCATTTGTCACATCTCCCTATTTGCATGTGAATTAGCAATTTTTCGTACATTTTATAACAGCATCATCCGTTTCGGAGGTGCCAACCTCAAGCCAAAAGCGGCTACGACGCACGTTTATATTCGGTATCATTGTGGTGCATAGGGTGAGACGAGTGAATGATTGGTCAACTCTCCGGTGGACTGCATTACACTGCGAACAAGAATTCGTGATGCAGGAAGCGTAGAGTGTGTTCGCGAGTCGTGTGGCAGCACTATCCATGGACAGACTATCATAGATCCACACCATAGATAGTCTCACGGTCGCCATCTGTCGGACGTTCTCGTCCAAGTGCACAGTGAGCGATTCGGGTCGTCCTGAGAGCGGTGGTCACATCTGTCGGTGTTGACGAGATGGCTCCGATGAAGAGACATGTATCACGCGAAGCTGGAGAAGGAGAGTCACCGCGAGGCAGAGCCATCTAAATCGACAAGTCCCGGTCTCTACCATTGGTATTTGGTATCGCAATTAGCGGGTGCGGAGGCAGCGCTTCCGTTTTCCATCTGACAACTCACCAGCATGGCAGCATGATGGGGAAAATCTAAACATGACAGATATGATCGCGAATGCGTGACGCTCGGAGCTTCAGAAGGCATGTTTGCTGAATGATATGTCATTGTTTAGATGCTTGCTGCGGGTAGTGGCGACCATTTGGGACCAGGATGCATGAATGTACCGCGACGAGAATATACATTGCCCTATGCCCCTCGGTCACGACTTTTAATCGGATCAGGACGCGCCTGCCAATTGCATCATATCATTATGTCATGCACATAAAGCTCGGCTGCTCGGGTACCGAACGTACCTGGTCGAGCATTCAGAAGGACGTTATGCTCGTACATGGAACTTGACATATCAGCACAGATACCGTATGTGCTCACCGCTTGGCGTCGTCCAACGTAGGGTACCAGCCGCAGTGTTGTCCGTCATGCAGAGCTCGAACGATCATTTGGTCAAACTGTAGTGAGGATCCTGGTGGATGGTTACCGTTGTGAGTTCAGTGTTCTGGTTACGTGCAACATTGGCAAAAGCCTTCTCCCCTTACCTCTTACAATGTCAGCTGCGTGCGGATGGGGATGTGGACACAGTCAGTCAGGGGAAAAATTGGATGGATCTTTCAGTTGCCTGATTATGATGGCCTCGTGGGTCCTGTCGCATCAGAAGATGTCCGAAGGAGGCATACTTACAGCGCATTATTTTTTCCTCTCCGCTTGCATCGATTGCGTCATGTGAGGCCTGATCATCGACGATAAACTTCTTTCTGGTGAACCATCGAACGTAACGATATCGTCGGAACTCTGCCATCGTTCTCTCGACATGATACCTAAGGAACCTGAGAAGGAAGGTCGTCCTGCTGTTGCAAGGTCTGGCATGTATGCAGCGGAAATGCTAACGCGGCGTTATGCGATGCATGCAATTAATGTTGTCATCGTTGGCAAGCACTTGTTCTCCATTGTTGCATGAGCTATGGCTGACTGCGATGCTTCAGACAATTTAGCATGGGTATGGTGGTATGATCGACAGGGTGCAATCCAGTCAAGCGGTGTCGATTTCATCAAGGACCTTCCCTATTTCCTTGTTCTCATTGCCACATTCCGTCATTTGGGTCTGCGTGAATGGGGTATTGACGCCACACTGAGAAGGGATGGGCATCAGCACTATCCGAAGAGGGCTACGAGAGAGTATCCGAGGAACGACAGACTCGGAACAGTTCATGAGTGCCATCCTCGTCGCAAACCCCACGGCTTTGACATCGTATTCGGAGATCGCGAAGATCAGACGAATGTCAAAGCAGCCGCCATTACACGTCCTGAAAAATTCGTTAAATCGCGATATTCTCTTTTCGGTCGGGGAACAAAGGAATTTGAGGCCACGCAGAAGAATACAAATGCAGTCATGAAGAGATACTGGCCGGAGGTCATTCTCACGAGCGACGCTGTCATTTTGGAGCAAGCAGTAGAACTGGGTCGGGGAGATCCGCTCATAGAGGGACATCTGCCCACGGTCCTTGCCTCGTACGACTTGAACTACTCGACCGGAACGATTGGAGAGGACATTCAGAAAGAAGGGCGAATTGATGGGGATGCTATCGGTGACTCACGTTGCATGCGCCTACTACTGATGCGGAAACTGTTGCCCATCGACGGATTGCCCGCTGAGGAGTTTCTGCGTGTATGGGTGGAATGCTATCGATGTGAGTATCGTGATACTCCAGTGGTTTGCCGTCTGAATCGCTCTCGAACAGGTCATTTCGCGCTCTGGATGAAGGGCTTTGAACACAGGGATATCAGTATTGACAACCTGCTCTATGACCCCATCACTCGAAAAGGTGTTCTGAATGTTTTTGATTTGGCTGGGATCCGCCTGGACAGTAAGAAGCAGGCGACAGGGCAGGAACGAATAGGCACTATTCCCTTCATGGCGATAGATCTCCTCTCAAGCAAGTATTTCCACGGAGAGATCGTGCGCCTGTACCGCCACGATTTCGAATCATTCCTTTGGATCCTGGCTTATAGGCTGCTGCGTGGCGTCGATGAACAAGATGCAGATTTGGCAAAATGGGATACTGGCGATTACAGTTGTTGTCGAGCCTTCAAGAACGACTTTCTCTACACGAATTTGGGAAGATGGAGGGCTAAGGATGAGAATGAACGGGTTTGGGAAGGCATTGGGTATTGGTTGATGGGATGGTTGAGCAAAAAACTTTATGAGATGACAGACTTGCGTAATCTCAAGGAAAGGGCGCCGGGGAAGCTGTCACGGAATGACCTCGCCAAGATTTCTGAATGGGAGGACCAGTCCAACCAGTCGGCCATGGAGGTTCTCAAAGACGCTGAGAGTGTCATGGCGGAGCACTATACTGAGGCGGATTTGTCCAATCCCTTCCAACCACTCTCTGGCGAAGAGCTCCAACGGTATCCCCCCTCTCCATCGCCACCTGCTTCATCCTCCTGAGTCCCGCTTTTCCCCCTCGCCTTCAATTATGGCAACTTATCTCATAGCGAGATCCATACTCCTGGATGGTCATTCAATGATTGGTAATGTCGTAATGAATGTTTTATATACAATGTTTGTTCCAGCATTCAATGTAGACCACGTTTAAAGTGAAGTGCCTGGCTCGTGTCACCGTGAAGACCATGTACAAAGCGTCTATCCAAGTGGCCGACTCGACGGACATCACGCGTGAATCGCGTGCACACGCCACAAGCGCGTCGGCCGTTGGCACATCCTGGATTGTTGCCCGCCGTCCAGCTCATGACAATGTTTCACGCAACAGACAACTCTCCTCTACGCGCTGCTCGGCGGGCCTCGTCTTCCTCAGAACCGGATACCCACACAGGGAGCGGATTTCCTCTGGGTCGAAGACGACAGGCGTTTTCCGTCGTGAAGAGCATTGGCCGAGGCCCGAGACGCGGTGCGGTGGTGAGGATAAAGACGTTCCGCGCGATGGCTGGATTGTTTGATGGAGAGATGTGTCGCGAGGGACTTGGCTGGGACGACAGGATGAATGGCATTGTCATTATGGATGACACGGCGATTCCTCTAGATTTTCACGGTGCAGGCTCGCTGACTGCGCAGATTTCGTTGTCAGATGCGGGCATTGTATCTTAGAGTCTCTGATGGCTGAAATCAACGTATCGCCTCTCTGTGGCTATCGCGGAACGCGATTCTGTTGATTTACTGTCTTCCTACAGGGTACAGCTCTCAGGAGGATCCATCAACACAGATCACGCTCTTCGAATTACCACAACGATGTCGAGAACACCGTCGCATCGCATCCAGACATCAGTCTTCCGCCGAGTTGCGCTTCTCATCTACGCTGCTGCCTTCTTCCTCGATCCCCGCCTTCTCCACCTCCTTGCTGTCGCTCTCGTCACCAGCGCCAACGTCCACGTTCGCGATAGGCCCACGGAACCAGTGCACACCTCCGTAGACGGGGAAGTAATAGTACACGAGGCACAGCGTGAGCCAGCCGCCGAGCACCACGACCGTATAGTTCATGTTTGGCGCGTCCGGGGCAGGGTCGGACGGGAAGAGGAGGATGGCGATGGAGAAGAACATCCACGCCAGTGCGATGGCAGCCACAGGAAACCCCTACGAATGGACGAAACGCATCAGCCAACGCATTCAACCAGAGAGGCGCGTCGCTCACCATCCTCCCGAGCGAGAACGGCCCCGGCCTCCACCGCGTGCCGCCCGCGAAGCGGCTGATGATGGGGATAATGTACGCGATGTAGAGTCCGACTACTCCGAGACTGAAGACCGCCGAGATCGCGGCATCGCCTGCGAAAGCGAGCAGCCCGAGCAGGCCTGCGATAAATGCGGCGAACCAGGCGCAGTTGATCGGTGTCTTCGTGTATGGGTTCACGCGATAGAGAATGTTGGAGAAGGGGAGACCTCCGTCGCGTGCGAATGCGAAGGTCTGGCGAGAGGAGGCGAGAAGCTGAGGAGACGATGAGATAGTGACTGTGCTGAACGAAGAACATTGATGCTTACTGAGCTTGTTCCCATAAAGAACCTAAAAGCGGCAAAGTGAGACTGAGCTGCATCGGTCGCGAAGCAATGCGTAGGAAGCCTACTGTACAGCGACGACAACGGACCACACTGCCAATGTACCCCTCTGTCCGAAACTGTTGTACAAGATCTACAGGGAGCAGAGTCAACAAGGTGAGGCTCTTCGTCAACAGAACGAGTGACGATACTTACGACGGCCATTGGCTGGTCAATTGGGCTGTTCATAATACTCTCAAGATCGGTTCCCATGCGGAAGGCGAGCGCAACATTAATTGCTACGAAGCGAAGGTTCAAACACTAAGTCTGATCAAGATAGGCAGACAACGCTCACCCCATCCCAATACTCCCGCTACACTCGTGGCACTAATAAGGGCCCACGGAACCGCGACACTGGCGTTAGATGCCTCTTCGCTTATGTGGAGTGCCGAGTCGAATCCGGCTAGTTCTGGCTCAGAGATCGAGTACACGGTGTCATCGGGCTATACGCACAGATCGTCCATAGAGGTGCGAGGAAGCTCAACACAAATGCAAAGCCGTCCGGCCAGGCAGTGACTATAATCGATGACCAGCATCAGTATGTGTTGATTTTAGAGATATGCCGGCAAATCCGCTTACAGTTGACAAAACCACCGAACGCGTAGCTAGCAGAGTTGACATACTCTGCAGGTGTTGCAGCGGGCAGCGCAATGATGATTGCGAGGCACAGCCTGAATGAAGGTGTATACCGATTAGCGCCGATCTTTCGAATTCAGTGAGAAACGCACAGGACGTTCAGCACAACATAGACGGTCTGCAAGCGAGCCACCACCGCAGTGGCTAAGGATGATATCATAGCATGCAGGAGCAAGATCAAGACAAATACGGCGCTGGCCCAGTAATCAATGGTGGCAGCAATGTGAACGCAGTATGTGAGCACATACTATGTTTCGCCCGTGGTTGCGGAAAACTCCTGATTATGTCCAATGCTGACTGCTGCCTGGTCGCGGTTTGTTAACTAAAGCGGACCAACTGAAAACTAGAGTTCCGAAGAAGTTCACCATCAATTGAACCGCGCATCCCCAATCGACAGAAGCGACCCCGGCGATCAAGCCGATTGTATTAGAGTCTATCACAGAGGAACATCAAACTCTGTTGCGCTCGATGATCATGGTTGCTCACATCCAACGATCCACGATAGCAACCTCCGCCATCTAGGAGAAGCAAACTTGAACGACCAGTAGTAAAGCCCACCGGAGGTGGGCGCAGCGGATCCAAGTTCGGCGAGGGAGAGTGTTATGAGCAGGAGGAAGAAGCTGCAGACGGCCCACTATAGGACACTGATACTGAGCGGTCAGAAGATTTCCCAACATATCGCCACTTACGCCCCAGACCATCGAGACAGGTCCTCCGTTTGGTAGGGCATAAGTGAGCACCGACCTAGATGGACAAAGGAACGCATCAGCTCAGAAGATAAAAGAAAATTCACACATTCGCTGTTGAGGCAGGAATCTTCAGAACAGGGTACGCACGCGATAGAGGGGAAGAGCCCGAAGATACTGAAGACAAGGCCGAAGACCTCTAGTGGAGAGAAGGCACGCTTAAACTCCTGCTTGTATCCCAGTCGCGCAAGTTCAAGAGCGTCTGCTCCCTCTTGCCGCTGTCTGGCATTAGCCATAATTGAATGAGCTCCCCTTCCATGAAACAATGAAGATGTTTACTCTTACCTTGCAAGCTTATTTGCTGAGCCCATGCTGTACCGAGCGTCTCAGACGAGGCGACGACGTACAGGAAGTACAGCAGGCGAGTAGCACCTCTTATCACGGAGCTCCCATGTTTATATCGGCTGAATGACTTGGCGCCCTTCTGCTATGCAGTGTTCCTTATCGCGTACCGGTACCGGAAATCCACTTGAATGGACATGTCCATCAGCAGATAGAAGTCGCGAAGCCAGCCACGCGCCAGAGCTCCCACGAATCACGATTGCCTATACAGGGCTCGCGATACGTTGGAGCGCTGCGAGATTGCCGACAGGGTTGTGCTCAGAGCAATTGTGCTCCACCAGAATCACTCACCGAAGCGATATCAAACCCGAGACACATCAAAAGTAGAATATGCGTCTCCGATTGGGACCAATTGCCGCAGACTTGACTACGCGAGAGAGCAAGGAATGATTAATGACCAGGGCCCGTGCAAGGGAAGTTACTTCACGAAGCAGCTTAAAGTCGCCTATCATAGAAATGATCAGCCCTTAGTAGCAGCCACCACGCATGCACATTTTGCAGCGGTTCGCCTTTGTGAAAAAAGGCTTCGCGTTATCTGACCTGTTCTGCTGGTCTGTTCTGAATGGGACGCCAAGCAGGCGACTCAGTTCCACGAGTGGTAGAGCGCGATACGCGATCACGTGCGGATGAGTCCATCAGCCACAAGCGCATCACGAACCCGCATGACTTTCATCAGTTATTTGCATATGCAACGCTGCAACGCAAAAGGTAGAAAATCACGGGATACACCAAGGCATCGCAACCTGGATACCAGGTGGTTGGCCTTGGAGGTAATTATCACCTATGCTATTGCGTTCCATTGGCTGTCCTCAGCCTCTCCGAGCCGCAGCTGTTGCACCGCTGCAACGCGGCCGCCTCGGGATTGGCACCTACTCCGACCGGTTGATTTTCATTTTGATAGAGCCAGACATTAATATTTAATGGCCGTATCACGGTCGTGTTTTGTTCCTTTTAGAGGTTATCGCGGATTGTGAGACTTGTTGAGTAAGATACGTGTTTTTTGAGTTTCTCTAATAGAGCAGAGCGTACGAGGTCTGACGGCATAGTAAAGACATTGCTGCTTGCGACAGCGAAAGAACATGAGATGCTTTAAGGTCAGAGGAGGAGGGGGGGTGTAGTTGCATGGACCACGAGGTGATCAGACCCACTATCTCACCAGCCCTTAATATCATGATCAAGCGCTTGTATCTATCTTCATCTCAATAGCACCTGCGATGAAGCATACTTATCGTGAAGAGACACGACGCTGAAACTGTGCACACCGGAACAGAGTGGAGTAGCGTTATGGCAAACATATAGCAAGAGGTCATGCGCATACATCTGTCTTAGAGAGTCTAGTGCTGAGATCTATAATGGTAGGCAATCTACGCAAGGAGCGCGCCAACCCTTTTGCGCATAATCTTCGTTCTGTTCGAGCCCCTCCCCTCTGTCTTACCAAAGACGACCACCTTCCCGAGTTCGCCTGCACGTCCCGAGCGTCCAGCGCGATGCAGGAAGTCCACCATGTTCCGCGGCTCGTCCACGATGAAGACATGCTTGATCTCCGGCGCAAAGTCCAGTCCTCGGGACAGCAGCGACGTGGTGATCATTACATGAGGCTGCTGAGTATACGCAGGGGCATCGGATGAAGAGGATTGCTCCAGACTCGGCTCGCTGGCGAGCTTCTCATCTTTAGCTGTATGGCCGTGTTTCCTAAGGAACCCATCCAGGTGGTGATTCGAGCCCCACTTCCGCGTCTCGCTCGTGCTTGTCAGCGCGACATTCGGGATGCCTTTCTCCGTAAGGTATTGTCCGAGCTCCTCGACGCGCGTGCTTTTGTTGCAGAAGACGAGCACTTTCGAGAATTGCACCTTGCGGTTGCGTCGCTTAGGCACATCCTGCGCCCATACATTGCGCAGCCGCTTTTCGATGTCGACATTGCGGTTTCCACCGGTCCAGCCGACGTACTCGGTCCTGAGCGTCGACGGGAGGCGGTGGAGATTTGGTGAGGCAAGGCGTATGAGGCTGGGATGGTACGAATCTAGGTGCCAGGCGAGAGCGGAGGGGATGGTAGCGGTGCTCAATAGAAGGTTGAACGGGTAGTTGAGTGGTGCGGGGGAGGATGGTGTTGCAGGTACCGAAGGGAAGTCAAGCGGTTGCTTGCGCGCCTCGCTGATGGAGGAGAGAATTGACTTGGTGTCTGCCTGAAAGTCGGGATCTGCGCACGATTAATGTCACTATGTACCGGCTTGGCCAGAGGCGATGAACACTGACCGAACAGAACGTCAGCTTCGTCGATGACCACCCATTCGATGCTTTCCAAGCTCATTTCCGGCTTGCCCACTGTCGAAAGTCGCCGCTTTCCCTCCCCTTCCCACACGTTGGGCTCCTGCTCAAGCGTCACCTGATGGTCCCATCCCCTCCCTTTCACCATCTCCAGAATCTTCGATGGCGTCCCGACCACTATATCTACAGCATGATCCTCTGCGGCGTGCTTTTCTTCCACCTTCCCAGCCGAAGAGCCTTTGATCAACTCGTCCATCTCCTTTGCCATTTTGGCAGAAGAAACGTTCCGCGAGGGCGTGCTCGGCGTATTCGACTTGGACGCACATAGCACCCGCAGCTTGATGTGATGCAAGAGCGCCTTCGCAAAACTGGACAGCTGCCTTGAGAGCTCATGCGTTGGGGCGAGAACGAGTGCGCGCGGATTAAGGGGACAGCCGGAATTCTGAGGTCGAGGCGTGTCCGTCCGCAGCTCCGTAAGCTTCAGGTCCTGCAGCATGGGCAAGAGATACGCAATCGATTTTCCCGAGCCTGTTTCAGATGCCAGCAGGCATTGCAGATACTCACTTTTGTTCTTGGTGGGAGCTCCCCATGCATTCACGTTTGATGGGTATCCAGGTAGTGGCCGCGGGAAGAGATGCTTGAGTGACAATGACTGAATATCAGTCGGGCGAGCCTCAGGGCCCAGAAAATCGGTGACAGAAGTCAGGAGACCCTCCATCAGAGGAGGAGCAGTGAACTCCCTGGGGAGTGCGCGAAGCGTTTCCGCGCGTGCGGAGACATCCAGCTCGTCCACAAGAGGGTTGTAGACTGACGGCTTTTTGGAGGTAGAGGAACTTCCACTATCTGCCCTCTCGGCATCCCTTGAATGCTCATGGTCAAATTCCGAGACCGTGTGACCTGCGTGGAGCTCTCTTTTTGAACTGAATGGCCTTGCGGACGGCTTGCGTTGACCTGTGCCGGTAGCAGCATGAGATTTTGAGGACCTTAATGCCATCCATTCACTTTGCTGTTTGTCCCGCGCCGCCGTCCTTCTGTCAGCCCTCCTAGCCCTCGCCTCCCTCCACGCAAGTCGTTTCTCCAGCATCTCCTGTTCCTGATGTTCAGTATTCTTCCGTGCAACTTGTGCATCAGCATGAGGAACCGAGTCTCGCACTACTGGAGGTATGATCGGCGGGGGTGGGGGTGGAGGACGAGCTTTTGCACGTTTGGCGACGATCAGTCTGGCATGTTTTTCTTTGCCCGCAGAACGAGGTAGAAGGTCTTTCACAAGGCGTTTACGCGAAGCTAGTGACGCACATCGTATTTTACGTCAATACGCATATACGCATCATTTTGGCAAGCGACTGCACCTAATGGACGTGAATTCCAGGCTGCAGCAGGGTCATCATCATCCGGTATGCTCCGCGTTCGCTTTCTCTCTATTGCACTCTTCTTGCCCTTGGCCTGAACAGAAGCAGATGTATGAAAGCATGATATACAGGATCCTTGTGACAGTTGCGAAAGCAAGCAACCTTGGCGAAACGCAGGTCGAGGCAAGGCCAGGAGAGGCATCAGAATACCAAACCTGAAGGCACCTCTCATGAGCAATGTACCCTTCCTATACGCGCTGTGCGCTCACCGTCGATGGTTCCCTCGGAGCCAGCGTCGTAATTGAGGACAAGCGTAACTCGAGGTGCACGAACGAACGACGGCCTGAATGCAGGAAAGTAACACGGGCGCCCCGCAAAAGCGACGATTTGGAAACCCTAACCTCTGAAAGCGTCCGAGGCCACAACACGTGGCTAACTGGCCAGACCGAGTCTTTTCGGTAGAAAAGAGTCAGTAAAGACACCTGGGTACGAGGCCAGTGGCTAACAATGGTTATCATATTGTCAGGTTTACGCGTACTAAAAATCCTCAAAAAGCACTGCCCAGTGTAATAATCGTCATGAAGAGTTATTGCAATAGGCTATAGTGACCTTTGGATTGACCCCAACCGGACTATCTTACATCTCGACGCCAATTTACCCCGATGACGGTACGCATATTCACCACATTTCCCCACGGGCCGATTACTGGGTATTATGGCCACGGTCGGGCACACGACTGGACGAGGAGCTTTATGCCATCGGAGAACTGTGCAGCCGTAGCACGATTCGCGAGCTGCATCTCCAATCCGTCGACATCGCTGCACCTGACAAACATCTCTACGTCGTTCAGCAGTCGCACCGCCGCCTTGAACCACACTCGACAAGTGAAGCGCGGCTCGCAGAGACGGTCGATCGAGGGCACCTCCATCGGGATCGTCTGCAGGTACTCGTTCAGGTGTGTGTGATCCAGGCCCTGCGGCATCTCGCCCATTGGGAAGAAGGCGACCACCCGCGAGTCATTCCATGCGGACCACGGCGCGCACTCGTATCTCCACTGCCCATCTGGCACGCCGTCAGTGGCCGCGTGAAACTTGTGGCCGAATCCATTGCTCTAGAGGGCAAATTACAGGTTGGCAGATCTATTAGAATACGTTTATCTGGGACGATCGCTCACCTCACACAGGAAGATGCTCCAGTGGAATTTACCCGGCGCATTCGCGACGGACAGTGCAGCATAGATGTCATTCGGGACAAGCCTATCTCTATAAAGGGCCACTTCGACGCTGCGCAACCGGCCAAAACATCAACAGACTCACCTGAGCCACTCATGGGCGCGCAGGAACTCCTCCTCAAGGAGTGGATCCGTGATAGATCCACCCGGAGGCGCTACCGCTCCCTCCGAGCAAGGCTGATGTGTGACATCGGGAAGAGCATCGTGCCCGCTGGGGCCTGGAGACTGACTTAACATCGTGCAGGCAACTAGCAGACCAGCGGAAGAGTGCTGGTGATGATCAAGCCCACTTTAAATCTTTCCCATTGATTTCGAAGTTGTCCGCTTTGTTACGGATTGGGAAATATTTACCACCGCGAAGGTGATCGCAAGCGAACAGTTGGCTACATCATTTCGCTTGCAAGGATAGGCCAAATGCTGATAAGTGACCAACTCCTAGCCCAGCACAGCCAAGCTGCAGCTGTCTGGCAACAAAATCCATCTTGTCCAACCTGCACATGACTTGCTTGGATACGCTCCACATTGGCTGGCAGAACGCTGAGACGAGGCACATTTTGGGTTCCGTGGTACTCTTTATTATTGACAAAGACTAAGCCGAATCCGAGGCAGAACGGGGTGGATACGCAGTACAGCAACAGATGCGATTGTATGAGAAATCCAGGTACCAGCCACTTGGGCGAGTAGGAATTACATAGAGTGACAGGTGATAACAACTGAGGTGGGGTTGATAGCGTGGAAGCCAGCAAAGCGAATTCTCTCCCGTGGATATACATCTAACAGGAGGGGTCGCATTGAGTTAGTTTGCGTAAGGTAAAGGGACAGGAAGAGCTGACAAGAGAGGTGCATGACAGCACGGGTATGGAAAGTGGATGTAGACAAGGATGAGACATACTTTGCACGAAACCCCTTCTGCCAGTCGCATCGTCTAAAACACCTCTACTCCACCTCTGCGTGTCTAAGACAACCGGACATATCTGACCTCCCCTTCCCTCCGTTCACGCCGGAATCATCAACTCTCCCCACGTCCGTATCGCCGCAATCCCTCCAAGGAATACCGACAGGCCGACCAGGATGCTCAAGTTGCCCGGTAGCTTCTCGGGCGCGAAGATCTCCTCGCGCATGAACGCAGAAAATGCGGATTCGTTCGGGTCTGCGAGTCGACCGCGCTGGGGCACGCCTGAGTAGTAGGCAGGGCCCGAGCCGGGTGGTGCTGAGCGACGGGCCATTGTAGCTGATGGTGAGCTTTTGAGGTGCGAGGATGAGAATGAGGATTGTCCTGTTGAAAGGTTGTGGCGGCTTGGTGACAAAATCCCCTCCCCGCGAACCGATTACGTAATCACGCTCACCTCCGAAAATATCGATCGGATCTTGTATAACGCGTCTCACCGGGGGCATTGACCTGTGATTCCACCGGAAACATCGTGAACACACCGTGACTACAGTCACAATGATGTGACTTATGTTTCCGTTGGATTCATGGTGACAACAGTTTGAATGTTGCCGAAATGCCATCTAGATATTTCCTGTGTGATTCAGTGAGACTGTAGCTGGTTACATTTTGAATTAAATCAGCTTTCTCATTGGTGAAAAACTCTGCAGACATTATAATTGTTATTTGGATTTGTGCCCGATGCTGTCACTTATATCAACGTGGCATGATTCCAGTAACATTTTGGATGTTTCCACCGATAGAAATGGTTGAATCAAGTGGGAATCAACACTGCCTCATTATTGATGGCATCACTGTGCGTCCAAAATGTTTCTCAACATATCATTTGGGCCACATGATGTTTTTATTGATCGTGTTTCCTGTGGAAACATTGGAGATGATTTGTCAATGCAGTCTACATGTATCCATCATGTGCCCACGGTGAGAAGGGCATGTGCAGCTTGTATGCAATCAGGAGAAACATTGCTTGCTTCGCAAAGGCATTAGGAAAACATTGATAATGTCTTTAGAATGCTGCCACCATGATTCCCGGATGAAATCAGGATGTTTTCCGGGTGGCTGCTGCATGTGTTCAGAATGTTTCCTCCTGGAAACAGATGATCGGGCCAATCAAAACTGGTCTTGGCATAATATTTTTAAAATTTAGTTCGGTATCATGTCTCATTCATAATTGTTAAATAAATAATATCTTACTTTT